TTAAAGAAATGAAATAAATACCAATCCATTCGTTTTTTAAAAAGCTTTTATTTGTTCCTCAAGATTTTTTTTAATAAGTCGTAAGGTTTTTGAGTTATTAGTAAAAAAACATGCATTTTTTTGAATGAAGAATTAATATTTTCAATCGAGAATAATGAAAATATTGATTTATCGAAAAAATTTGCAAAATATTTTTCTGAGAATACATTTCTTCCTTGATCCATTCTTTACGTATTGTCTAAATTTCACGTCAATTGGTTTAATCAAAGAGAATTTAGAAACATTGGAATATCAACCAAACAATGATTTTAATTTTTATTGAGTAAAATGCAAAAAGAAAGTTGTTTCGGTAACATTTTTCTAGGATAAGTAAGAAGTTTTCTTAAATATGTATATAAACATATTGTCTCCAAACGTGCGTTACCATTGTTTGGAAGGATTTAAAAACCTTATGCATCATTCTCTAACGCCATTTCTGGTAGTTGACGGCGACAAAATGACCGTGAGTGGAAATTGAGAGATAAGGGATTAACTTCGGGAAAGCGGTTAGTGCGGGCATTCTAAACTCCATTCAAGGGTTTATATAGCCCTGACTGGTAACAATATATCTAGAAGAGAACTTCGAGTTCCTTATAATCAATATCTCCAGTCGTCTCTTCCATTAGTTAGCGGTTTTCTGTCACCATGGGTCTCACATATTCAATTGCATATTGTAAGAGTGGCTGTTCAATCGCCCAGTCGGAAAATTTGTATAATAAACTAGCGCGCTACTGTTTTTTAGACACCCATGAAATTATTTAATAGTCCTTCTTCCTATTAAGATGGCATACAGAATAAAAATCCTACAACTGAACGCAGGAAGGGCACAACGCATCTCATAACGTGAGAGATGCAAAATGTAAAGGAAAAAAAAATGATGTTTTAATCATGATAGAACCTAACAAAAGTAAAGCCTCAAAAACCGACGATAGAAAGGATGTGGCAATTAAAATCTGGAGTAGACAGATTACAGTAAAATATGAGAGATATTTCGAAGAATACTCCATAGTGAGCTGCTATATTTCATCAAACATATCAATAAAGGAATAGAAAGATAGTGTAGTCAAAATAATTGATAATATCGAGTACCCAAAAGAAATAATAATACTAGGGGATATACACGCAAAGTCGATGATGTGGAGATAACCAATAGTACACAAAAAAAAGATCCTTGGGAGTAATGGATAGATTTTAAAGATCTAGTTTTACATAACACTGAAAAATACCAACTTTCGTTATAGGCGAAAACTGTTTTTATATTGACAATATCCACCAACAAGATTGCAAAAAAGATTTAAAAGAAGAAGGGTTCTAAAGAGGAATAAGTCAGCCTGCACCAGAACTACAGACCAATCTCATGAGTCTAATGGATAAGTTGTATGAGCAGATTATTAAAAGAAGACTAGAAAACGAATGGCTTTAAAAGAAGGTTTGTCACACATTCAGTATGGTTTCAGGAAAGGAAGATCTGCTTCAATAGTAGATGTCATGCACAGTGTCAAAGAAACCAAAAGCAACGCTCTATGTAAAGAATGCGTTCAACACTGCATCATGGAAACTAATCATACATAGACTTATTTTTCTAGAAATTTCGCATTGATTCATAACTATTTCTGTACTAGAACAGTAGTAATTAATGAAAATATATTAGACATAATGAAAAGAATGCCACAAGGATCCACACTGGGCCTTACATTATGGAATATATTGTTCAACCCTATTCTGAACATCACATTAACTGGAGGCGGGTTCAATCTCGCATACGGTGACGACCTGGCTTTGATAGATACGACGAAGGATTAACAAAACCTTATAGAAAACGGAAATGCTTTAGAAGAGATTAACTTTTGTATTGAGGAAATCAAAACAAAGTGGGTGGTGTGGTATTTAACATAAATTGAATACACCCAGAACAAATGTTCTCTTAAAATCCCTTATTATATACACTATGGGTAATAATTATGAATCAGTAAGTTGGTACTTTTGGTAGTGTCTATATCCACTGCAAATGCTGATTAACAGTAAGCAATTACCTTCTCGTCCACATTTTCATGACTGATAATATCACAGAAATTGTTGACAAGCAACCGGGCATAACCACGAGGGTAGTAGCTGCTGAATTAGAAGTATCTCCTTTAAAAGTATGCAGAATAATTAATATAGCAAAAGTTCAAGATTTTTTCGAAGATAACACCAGAATTTTTATGATTTATTTCTGGAAGAAAACAGACGCAACGTAAACTTTCTTTTCGAGGAACCCTGTATATGCATCTGATAATTACGGGTCCCTTTCTAGAAAAACATCTAAAAAACGCTCGACGGTGCTCCTCAAAGAATTGAGAGACAAAAAACGTTCAGTTAATTTATAAATTTTTATGAATACGATTTTTGCGTTTTTTTCATTCTGTGTCAACTGCAGACGAAAGCGTTTTATTTTTGAAACGAAAATTAATCAGTTTTTTTACTGAATTTCCATTAAAATCGTACAATTCTGGAGTTTTTTTAAAAAATGTTTCAATTTATATATAGTATAATAAATAATGATACTATATAAAAAAACGGCGAAGATTTCTTGTGGCATTAAAAAATCTTTTACATTCTTTTAGTTTGTTTCGTCAGTTGAAGTAAGGGTAGCAAAATTTATTTTAAGTTTTACTTTGTTTTTGATCATTATTGACTTATATTTGAACTGACGCGAAATGTCCTCAGATGAATTTTTTGATATCTAAACGTTTTCCAGATAGTTTTAAGAGAGTAGTTCAAATATACCATTTAGTAAAATGACCCTAAAACGTTTGATATTCGTAAAAAATATGCATCTTAATGCTTTTCATAAATTTTTAAATGACTATGTAAAATGTACTTTTCAGCAAAATCAACGGCACATTCTTAATATTGACGCGAAATATCATCAGAGTGTTATTTTTATGCCTAAACGTTTTCCAACAATTTTTAATGAGGTAGTACAAACGTACCATTCAGAAAAATGACCCAGAAACGTTTTTATATTCCCAAAAATCTGAATTTTTTAGATAGGTCAAATGTACCTTTCGGCGAAATCAACCGAACACTCTTAATACTGACGCGCAATGCCTCGTAAGAATTTTTTTGATATCTAAACGTTTTCCAGCAAATTTTAAGGAAGTAGTTCAAATATACCGTTTAATAAAATAAACCCAAAACGCTTGATATCTGCAAAAAATATACGAATCTAAATACTTTTTCACGAATAAGTAGGTTAAATGTACTTTTAGGTAAAATCAACCGTAAACTCTTAATATTGACGTCAAATGTCCTCAGAATAATTTTCTTGATATCTAAATGTTTTCCAACAAGTTTTAAGGCAGTAGTTCAAATATACCATTCAGTAAAATGATCCTGGATCGTCTGATATTAGCAAAAAACATAAATTTAAATACTTTCCAAGAAATTTTAAATGAATAGGTCAAATGTAACTTTTTCCAAAATCAACCGGACACTCTTAATATTGACGCGAAATGTCCTCAGATAAATTTTTTGATATCTAAACGATTTCCAGATAGTTTTAGGAGAGTAGTTCAAATATACCATTTAGTAAAATGATCCAGAATCGTTTGAAATTCCCAAAAACTGTATTTGAATACTTTTCACGAATTTTTTTAGTTAGTAGGTCAAATGTATCTTTTGGAGAAATCAATGAAATAATTTTTTTGATATCTAAACGTTTTCCAGCAAGTTTTAAGTTAGTAGTTCAAATATACCATTCAATAAAATGATCCTAAAACGTTTAATATTAAAAAAACATGAATCTTAATATGTTCTACGAATTTTTTTAGTAGGTCTAATGTACCATCCAGCAAAATTAACCAGGCACTCTTAATATCGACGTGAAAAATCCTCAGAGTAATATTTTTTATATCTAAATGTATTCCAGCAAATTTTCAAGGGAGTAGTTCAAATATTCCATTAACAAAAATGACTAAATCTAAATACTTGTTCACGAATAAGTAGGTTAAATGTACTTTTAGGTAAAATCAACCGTACATTCTTAATATTAATGTCAAATGTCCTCAGAGTAATTTTCTTGATATCTAAATGTTTTTCATCAAGTTTTAAGGGAGTAGTTCAAATGTATCATTCAGTAAAATGATCCTGGAACGTCTGATATTCGCAAAAATCATGAATTTAAATACTTTCCAAGAAATATTAAGTGAGTAGGTCAAATGTACCTTTTGGCAAAATCAACCGGACACTTAATATTGACGCGAAATGTCCTCAGACGAATTTTTTGATATATAAACGTTTTCCAGATAGTTTTAAGAAAGTAGTTCAAATATATCATTTAGTAAAATGACCCTAAAACGTTTCATATTCATAAAACATATACATCTAAATGATTTCTAGGAATTTTTAAATAAGTAGGTCAAATTTACCTTTCCGATAAATCAATCAGGCACTCTTAATATCAACGCGAAATATCCTCAGATAAATTTTTTGATATCGAAACGTTTTCTAGATAGTTTTAAGATAGTAGTTCAAATATACCATTCAGAAAAAATGACCCAGAATCGTTTGATATTCCCCAAAATTGCATCTGAATACTTTTCACGAATTTTTTAGTTAGTAGGTCAAATGTACCTGTCGGAGATCTCAACCGGACACTTAGTATTGACGCGAAATGCCTCAAAGAATTTTTTTACAGGTTACAGATTTAAATAACATGTTATATTTCTAAATTTATGAAGCCTTTAATAGCACAAGAAAATGCATTTTTTCTTGGAGTTAATATTTTATCTTTTGTTTTATAAACAAAAATGAAATTCCTGGATCTAGTAGTATGAAAATTTAATTCAACCAATTTTATTATTGTTTATATTAATTTTGCTAAAATATTATATTTTTGTTGTAATGTCAATATTTATTTCATGTTAATTTTTTTTAAATTTTAAGATTAATAAATTTTATGACAATGTGTAACTTACCTAAACACCTAAATGGTTTAACCCATCTTGCCGTTTTGCATTTTCCTCTCGTCTGGGCTCCTGGAGCCGATCCTGCTCGACACCAAGCCGCTATCTTCAAGTAGTGACTGCTTTCTACTATGTTAGTTATATCCCTTTTGGGATATACCTGTAACAAAAACAATATGTCAGATATAACGAATAACCAAATATAATAAAATTAAATATATTACAGAGTATTACAAATTTAGTTTTTTAACCTAGACTCTACTCTAGATGTGTTTCAACCCAGTCAAACCTGAAGCTGTAAAATTTTCACTTATAATATCACAAGAGCTTTAGAAATTTTCTTGAGAGCACGAATATTTTAAAAATTATCCAGCGACTGGGGAGAATTTTCCTAAAATATTCGTACCCGAAAGAAAATTTACAGGAATAATTTAAGCTTGCGTGGTATTCGGTAAGAAAATTTCACACCATAATTTTGACATTTTAGTTTAACCGATTCTGACACAAACCTTAATAATTACTAGTTTTTTAAAACGTCTGTATGTTGAGTTTAATAAGCTTATAGCAAAATGTCGTGATTTGGTAAAGAAAGTCAACAAGTAATTAGATAAGAAATTCAAAATATAACACCAGATAACACCTGAAAATCCACAAATGTGTCCGGTTCGTTTGTTTAAGAAGTTGATGGAAAAAAGGGGAAATCTTATTCAGATCGACAAATTATTCTTAACACCAACCCCATTCGAAAGGATAGTACAAGAATAGCTCAGTTGGTAAGAACATTGTATCTTCATGGTTTAAATTAGCAGCCCCTGATATAGGAATTGACACTAAAAAAGTTAAAATAACAAATCATTGGAAGAAATTGGTGAACAACAGCTAAAATTACTAGACAAAATAATCAGTCAATCAAACCTTACTTTCAATTGAACGTTGAACATCATCATCATCAGATGATTGAATCCATGAGGAGAATTTCATCAAGTACTAGCAAGTTTATTCATGATCAGAGCACAATGCAAAATAAAACAGAAAGTACCCAGATTCAAATCACCAATTCAAGCCAGCTCACAAACATTTATAATAATTGTGTTTTTAAAATAATAATAATATAATTAAATGTCATAGATGTAAATTTATCTGATCACTTTCTCACAGAATGTACATTAAATATTAAAATTACAAAAAACAATCATCAAACAAAAACGTACAGACTTTTCTAAAATAAATTTAGAAAATTTTAATGTTGATCTTAAATCAAAGCATTAGCACTTAGTTTATGAAAATGCCACTATTAATGATAAAATCAAATTATTTAATAAACGTATTATCCAATTATTCGATGTACATGCTCCACTTAAAACCATGACCTTTAAAAATAGTCCTAAACCATGGATCACTAATAATATAAAATTTATGATTAATTTGTGAAATAAAGCGTTTACTAAATACAATAAAACAAAACAAAAATCTCACTGGGATTATTATAAGAACTTAAGAAATTATATTACACAAGCCATACGTGCAGAAAAAAAATGTATCTCAATCAAAAATTTTCTAATGCCAATAATAAACAAAAATGGAAAATAATAAATAAGTTTACCGGATATAAGAATAGTAATAAGTTTCAACTTTCCTCGAATTTCAATGCGAATGACATCAATAAAAACTAAAAAACGGTTCTGTCAGTAACCCTTACCCGGAAACTCAACATTTTTACCAAAACAACTTGAAAGGTAATTTTAAAAATAGTAGATGAATATAATATAATTAAAATTATTCTTAAAATTAAAACCGAAGCTTGTGGACCGATGGAATTAATGTCACATTAATTAGATTTCTTTGTCCCTGCCTAATTCCCCATATAACATACATTATAAATTTTTATCTAAAAAATTCTGTTTTAAAAAGAAGTTTAATTAAGGATTAAGATTAAATAAATTTAAAAAAATTATTACTTTAATTAAAAACTCCTCAGTAAATTTTCAAACACAAATAGTAAAGGATGATATTTTAATAGTCAAAACAAGAAAAAATTATTTTTGCACTTTTCATCAAATTTCTCAAATACGGTTTATTTTAGAGAAATTATGTATATTACAAAAATTGTAGATAATAATATTGTGGAAAACTTTTATCTGAAGAATTTTTTTCTCAAATTATAAATAACAGAATTATACCAAAAGGTAAAGAAACAATCCACTTGTAACTTCCTGTATATAAAATTTTTATCTAAAAAATTCTGTTTTCCCAAATATATGGAAAGAGGGACTAGTTCCTCCTATTCCAAAAGTCACTTCCCCTGAAAACTTAAATGATCTTCGTCTCATAATTATTCTTCCTACACTTTCAAAGGTTTTGGAAAGAGTTGTAGAAGAACAACTTCGAGATCACATTGATAAATATAAAATTTTACCACCCTCACAATCGGGATTTAGATCGGGATATAGCTGTGGTACGGCCCTATTAAAGGTCTTTACAAAAACATACCACATATTCCTTAGACCAAAATAGGTCGATTTAAGTAAAATTACCTTAGTACAAAGTTGTTTCGTTTGGGCTCCAGAGGGCCTTGAAGTTACAATTTTTAAATCGTTTTTTCCATATAAATTTAAAACGGTATATGCGATTTTGCTGAAATTTGGTATATTGGTAGAGTTTTATGTGGCAAAAAAATGGTATTAAAATTTTGTCCGATAATAATACATAGGCGTAGAACTTGATTTTTTAAATAATTGCACCTTTAAAAATTCTACGCCAATGGAAGAAAAAGAGTTTGAGTATGAAATTTAGATTGCGCAACTCATTTACTTTAAAAAAGGTACTCTTGATAAGACTCGATTACTCTCATGGTTTTGACGAAATTTGTATTTTAGTAATTTTAGAACATAAACAATAATTATTAAAATACAAACTTTGTCAAAACCATGAGAGTAAATCGAGTGTTATCAAGGGTACTTTTTTGTAGTAAATGAGTACCCACTCCAAATTTCATACTCAAACCCCTTTTTTGCCATTGGCGTAGAATTTTTAAGGGTGCAATTATTTAAAAAATCAAGTTCTACGCCTATGTATTATTATCGGACAAAATTTTATACGATGAAAAACATAAAAATGTACTTTTTTCATATCTTCTTCAACACCTCTAATCGAGACTTTTAACAAAAATACTCGATTCTTGCCATGTACGATTTTTTGAGGAATATTAATTATTTGCCTGCAATACGTATACAAAAACATTTATTGTTTGTTTCCATAGTTTCATCGAAATAAAAATATTGTCAAGTTTTACCACCTAATCTCTTGTTAACGATTGAAAGTGTTCTATCTGACTGAATAATTAAAAAAGCAAATGCGTGGTTTATTAATATGGCTGTACAATATACCAATGCAGAATATACCGATATGTAACTCGCGATCGACAGGTTGGCGACCACTGCTCTAATCAATAGTATCTCTTATTCTATAGCGTTCTCCTGGCGTCTTTGTGAAAAATTTAACATACCGTATAATATTTATTGAATATGTTAGTTAATATGTATTTGTGTGATATTTTTAAAATACTTTATGCTTCTTATATATGTAGTTAATGTAACTAAACAACCTAAAAATGTGTATTATGTATCTTATGATTAAAATGTATTTTTACGTATTCTTCCCACTTAATTGGTTTTTAATTGTTAAGTGTGTACTAAATAAATTTAATAAATATACGATTCAATACTAGTATTGCCAGGTTCAAAATTTCTCAAAAATTCCCCAGATTTTTCACAGATCTTTTAATTTGGAAATTAAGAAAAAAATATACTTAAAAATTAAATATATGTATTCCTATTTAGTTTTAAGATTTTTTCTCAAAATAAAAATCAAGCCATTTGTTTTTTTTTTTCAACAAATACAAGGATAAAATAAATAGAAATACATAGAAAATATGCCACACTGATAGCTGATGTTTTGTCAAATGTCTAGTACATAGAATACCATTCCCTTTGTGTGATTCCCTGTAAAATACCACCGAGCCAAGGTTTTTTAAGTGATTGCTTAATATAGTTTTTAAAAATATAACAAAATCAAAGAATTTGAAAAATTCCCTAAATTATGGAACATTTCTTTTTTTCTACCGATTGCAGATTTTCCCCAAATTTTGGGAAATTTTGCTATCAATGGCAACGCTGTTGAATGGGAATAATGGGAATAATTTTTAAGTATAGTTATTCGTCTCTTAAGATGTCTCTAGATAATATAATTTTATATACAGGAAGTTACAAGTGGATTGTTTTTTTACCTTTTGGTATAGTTCTGTTATTTATAATTTGAGAAGAAAATTCTTCAGATAAAAGTTTTCCACAATATTATTATCTACAATTTTTGTAATATACATAATTTCTCTAAAATAAACCGTATTTGAGAAATTTGATGAAAAGTGCAAAAATAATTTTTTCTTGTTTTGACTATTAAAATGTCATCCTTTACTATTTGTGTTTGAAAATTTACTGAAGAGTTTTTAATTAAAGTAATAATTTTTTTAAACTTATTTAATCTTAATCCTTAATTAAACTTCTTTTTAAATCTCTCGCTTCTGGCCTATTACTTGCGGTTTTTTATTGTTATTTAATGCGCCTTTTCACTTCGACTCAAATATTGTATTTCAAGCAAAATCCTCTTCCAACATTATTCCATTCAAATATTCTCTTTTCCGGGACTCGAAACTCGCAATGCAATCTGCAGATTCGATACATACAGCACTTCAAAAATTTCCTCCACGATGATTTCTGTCAGATGCGGAATCTATTGAGTAGTTGCTTTAAATTCTGCATGTGCATCTTCCTTATATATATTTTCTATATTCGAATGCGAAATTATAACAGAAATGCTAGGGAACAGGTGCATTTTAAAGGGAGGATGAGAAATTCGGTTTCTGGGAGATACGTTAAGTTACTTGAATTTTTATATGTTATTTATGTATTTATTTAAATCAGGTAGGCATTATAATGTAGTGTCTGATTTATTTTATATTTTAATAAATATTTTGTTGTAAATTTATAAGAAAATACACATTAATACATATAATTCATTAAAAAATAGATATCGATTTTTTTAACATTATTCTAAGACAAGGGTCTCCAAACTTTCCAGCTTTAGGGCCATACTGATTGCTCC